CCCGACAGCCCCGGATACACCTGTTCCCACTGTCACCACTGCAGACGTTAGATCGGTTTTCCTGGGAGTCAACCCAAGGAAAGCGATGTCCCTGGTCGAGCGCTCAGATCCCGTGGGGACCAGCTGGCAGAGGTATTCACCGACATCTTCAACCTCTCCCTCCTACAAGCCGAAGTCCCCACCTGCTTCAAGAAGACCACAATCGTCCTAGTACCTAAGAAAGTACGTACAATGTGCCTCAATGACTACCATCCAGTGGCTCTGACCTCCATGATCATGAAGTGCTTCAAAAGGCTGGTCATGGCCCACATCAACTCTAGTTTCCCAGCCTGCCTCAATCCCCAGCAATTTGCCTACTGATAGTAACAGGTCCACAGTGGACGCCTTTTCCCTAGCCCTGCACTCATCCCTGGAACATCTGGACAACAAAGACACCTATGTCAGACTCGTGCTCATTGAAGGCAGAGCTACAGTCTACACCATTATCCCCTCCACACTGACCTCAAAACTCTGAGACCTAGGTCTCGACTCCACCCTCTGCAACTGGATCCTCAGCTTCCTGACCCGTAGACTTCAATCAGTGTAGACAGACAACTGCACCTCTTCTACGATAACACTCAACACTGGAGCCCCCCAAGGATGCATTCTCAGCCCCCTACTGTACTCCCTGTACACCCACAACTGTGTAGTCAAATTCCAAATGAACGCCATCTGCAAGTTTGCTGATGACACAATCCTGGTAGGATGGATATCAAGCACCAATGAGTCAGAATACAGAAAGGAGATAGAGGGCTTGGTGACATGGTGCAATGATAACAACCTCTCTCTCAATGTCAGCAAAACTAAAGAACCGATCATTTACTTCAGAAAGAAAAGAGAAGAACACGACTCCATCTACATTCACGGAGCGGAGTTTGAGAAGGTCGAGAAAGTCAAGTTCCTAGGAGTGACAATAACCAACAACCTGTCCTGGACTTCCACACAGATGCAACAGTCAAGAAGGTACAACAACACCTCTTCTGCCTCAGGTGGCTCAGGAAATTTGGCATGTCCACAAGGACCCTCACCAACTTCTACAGATGCACCATTGAAAGCATACTGTCCAGGTACATAATGGCCTGGTATGACAACTGCTCTGCACAGGACCGTAAGAAGCTACAGAAGGTTGTCTGCACACCCCAGATCACCATGGAAGCCAACTTCCCATCCAAGGACTCCATTTAATGTCTTGTTGCTGTGTAAAAGCTGCCAACATCATTAAAGACACAACCCAACCTGGTAATGCTCTCCTACAACCTCTTCTGTCAGGCAGAAGATACAGAAGCCTGAAATATGCACCAACAGGTTCAAGAACAGCTTTTTCCCTGCTGTTATTAGACTGTAGAATGGACCTCTCTAGCTTCAAATGATGTTGATCTTGTTAATGTTGATCTTGCCTAGTGCACATCCTGTGCAACGTAGCCCGTATGCCTTACTCTGTCCAAGTTTTTTTTCACCCTATGATCTGTATGTCCTTGTTGCTACGATCTGCCTGTACTGCTCACAAAGTTTTTCATTGTACTTAGGTACATGTGACAATAAATCAAAAAGAATAAGTTTTTAAAAACATTATCTAAATATATACAAAATATCTCAAAACAGACAGAAAAACAAAGTCCAAATGGTTTCTTGACACAATTTATTACAGTGACTCAAATCCAGAGAAACTAAACCCTGATCTTAAATAAGTCAATTATTTGACTCCTTACATTTACCTTGCTGCGGGCTGTGGACGCAATTCAATGAATCCCTTCCAGGTCTGCTGTCGTGAGCTTTTTGTAAATCCAAGATCCTAAACTGACTCAGTTCTAATAGCCTGCAAATGTCTATCCAAACTCCCCTGGTTTGGAGGATTCACAAACTAAACCATTCTGCTGAGGTGAATTGTTCCCTGAAAATAAAACAAAATGTTTCTAGGCAAGAAGTCTAAGCTGACATCTAAAAGCAAGACTGAATTAAAAAGAAACTTGTTCATACTTGATTCTTCTGAATTGCAAAAAAAAAGTAATTAGCCTTACATGTTTACTGTTCCTGTCATAAACTCAAAAGTATAAACATCTTTCCATTAACACCAGAGGGATCCATGGTCATTTGCTCTCTAACAAAACGTTACACTTAAATCACTGTTTCAAAAGGAATCTCTGACTTTTTCTAAGAAAAGGAAACCCTTCACTGAAGTATCCAGCATTCACCTGGCCCTGATTTGAAATCCAAATTCCAAAAATGGTATTATATATCAGTTATAGACCTTTCATGACACTTAGCATTATCTCTGTCACTGGTACTAATAATTCTTTTTGAAAGATAAAAGATGGAAATGTTGCTCACGAATTTGGGGCAACTCATCATTCATGGCAAAGTAAAATCTTCTGTCACAATTTGTTTACTGGAATGTATTGCTATCTGATCAACTTTGGTTAAAGATTCCTCAATGAGCTCAAGTGGGTTGTACTCCTCATTCTTGTTCTCTGTGTTTGCTTCTTTCGTCCATCCTTGCTGATTTCGGACATCTGACGGTTTTTTTTTAATATTGAAAGAATTGGAAAATACTTCTGCCAGTCCTGTAAAGCCAAAGACTTCCTTCCTGCTGAAAATATGGAACAATTCTTTCATGTCAACAGAAATAATGTCAATAGATTCATTATCTATTTAGGTTCAACAATGATTCTAGGCAACCAATGAAATCTTCTGTTGGTTGCCCCTTTATTGATTGGTCAATAATGTTTGTTGCTGAATCAATTTCTCCCTTGGAACTAACCAAACTCTTCCCACTCCTTCAAAGGTGTTGAGGTCAAGATATACATGCAGGCTCAAAAGTGAGAAGTGCTGGTTGTGAATGATGTGTACTGTGATGATACTGTGGCTTTCAGAGGTGTATTTTGTCCTGGTATTTTTATGAAGAAAGATTGAGACAGAGGTGTTGAGCAGTCTGCTCAAAGCCAATAAAGTAAACAGTTTGAGAGGCTTTGGGTTTTATTTTTAAAAAGTTGGAACAAATAGAAGCAGCCTGAATGAGTGGGGTCAAACTGCCACAGAACCAGGATTTTTAGTTTTAGCTTTCAGCAGTTGCTGGGATCTTGAAGCTGGATGTGGAAGCTGTTATTCCTCTCTCTGTTACAGCTCATAGTTGGGGTTCTCTTCCTGCTGCTAGAATTGCACATGAGACAATCTATTTTACTGAATGTACCTTTGCCAAGAGTGTGTTTATGAGATGTTACTATATTGGAACAATTAATTAGTTGTAGTTAATATATATATATTACTTTGTTAAGCATTTTGATAGTTACAAGTAAGCCAATGCTTTTATTTTGTCTATATTTTAACTGTAGTGTAAAAATAAAATGTGTTTTGCTTAAAGTCAATAATTTGACAAAACAAATTGCATCCGGAATGCAATGTCTTACACTTAGCTTTAAAATTAGAAAAAGTTAGGGTCCAGGCTATCTTCAGAATATATTTTGAAGGGGTCTCTGTCTGGTCCATAACAGTAGCTTCAATTCTCTTAAATGCTTTCTGTTGCAGTTATTTATAGTATATCTCATTCTCCAGAATTATTCCACCTTGAGCATGTTGTCTCATCTCCTTGAGATGCAACTTTGATTTATTCAGCCATTTATTCAAACACTCACTCCTGCATCAAGCTTAAAATCACTGAGATGCCCATTAATGTAAGCATGTTCTACTAAACTCAATTCAGTGGGATCACCAATTTCCCCAAGAAATGCCAGCCTTTTTACTCCTTTAATAGCCCTTTCACACACTGTCTTTCCTGCACCTCCCATCAGCTCAGAGATAAAGCTTTTAGTTTGGGGTTCTGCAATTATCTTGCTGTTCCTTTAAAGAGTTCCGCTGTCTACTTCGCTGTTCACGTGTTTGTAGCTGTGGGCTGGCTGTGTATTCTTAAAGTAGTCATGTTCTTAAAGTGGTAAACTCACTTGTCAGCTGAAAATTTTTCCTCCTGTATAAAGTGGATATTTTTCTTCACCAGTATTACCTTCAGGTAATTAAGCAATGATCATACCTCTGATCACCATGTTGTATACTTGTCAAACCAACCACTACCAGCTAATAGTTGGGGTAGAGTGCTGCCACCAATCCTCTTTTCTATACTGCGTTCAAGGGCCTGGTTGTGTAACAATGACGAGTGATTCTTCACAACAAGTGGAACTTGCGTTAACAACAAAAAGTGTTTATTGCATGATAGCAATATGTATGAGTTACATTGGTTAGTAAGACATAACAGGAGCCAGGAATGACATGTCTGACACCATCAGCATCTCGAGCTGGGCTCCCAATTCTTCATTCAAGACTGCGTGACACTTCAGATTGGGTGAAGCTTAATACAGTCTCCAACATTAACGCTTTGAGGACATTACCTTATGCAACACCAGAGGTGCAAGATTTTAGCCATTTGAAAGGGCTAGAGAACTTCTTCAGCTTTTCTTTAAGTAGAAGTTACAAAAAGATTTAATAGGAATGTTTAGTTCTAAAACAGTACATAGGAGAATATGTTTCTAGTAGAACATCAATTGAAAATAATTGGTACAATAATTTTACAGGATGACCAGATGTTCCAGTTTTGTCAGGAGAGTACAGTTTTTTTAAAAAAATTGAACATCCCAATGTTGTGACCATTTCCTCAACATGTTCCTAGCTTCCAGCATTCCCATTTTGTCTGCAGGAGCTGAACCAGTTTAAACTGAATTTAAAGCCTGTACATGCATCCTAAAAATCCATTTGCCCTTTTGAGAAGGAAATCTGTCATCCTTAAATAACACACAGTGTGGAGCTGGAGGAACACAGCAGGCCAGACAGCATCAGAGGAGCAGGAAAGTTGACGCTTTGGGTCGGGACCTTTCTGACTCTAGCATCGGCAGTTCTTACTATCTCTGAGTGTTCCTGCTCGTCTGATGCTGCCTGGCCTGCTGTGTTCCTCCAGCTCCACACTGTGTTATGTCTGACTCCAGCATCGGCAGTTCTTACTATCTCTGAATCTGTCATCTTTACCTGGTTTGGTCTATACACGACTCTAGACCCATGGTGACGTGGTTGACACTTAACTGCCCCCTGAATTGGTCCAGCAAGCCACTCAGTGCAAGGGCAATTAGGGATGGGCAGCAGATACTGGCCTTGCCAGTGAAGCCCACATCCCATGAAAGAACAAGCAAAACACACGGGACGACGCGTTACTAGTTAAATCACCACATGCTTACATGGAGCAAGGTTAACCCACAGTTTGCCTCTCAGAATCTCACTCTTGCTGCCCATTCCAGCACAGCATTAAAACAACAGAGTTCACTGAATCACAAAGGGAGGTAAGTACTGGAGATAATCTGCTGGTTGTATATTCATCATGCAAATAACAGCAAAACAACTCGTGAAACTCTGCAGAAGCCCGCAGGCCATGACTTCTTTCTGCATTTACTCTGGTAATGTTCCACTCCCATTTCCTGTAACGTAACGTATGGAGAATGCACTGACAGTTAACTACCCTCTTTCAGTTTGAGACACTGGAATGAGTGTCCATTTTACAAGCGGCTCTTATTAAATTTCAATCTTTTGTACACTTTGCACCTCCCTCTCCCAGGAACACACTCCGATTCAGTCTGGGATTGACCATTCGGTCCATTTCATTCTATCCCTTCCACTGGCCCATTACAGCTGCCAGTCTCAGCAAATCCTGGGATACCGGTTCGAGATTTTGACAGTTTGGGTGAACGCAGAGGCTCCCAACACTGTCCCTGAGCTTGCCTTTTGTAACAAAGCGAAAAGGTGCTCGCCCAGCGAGAGTCAGGCAATGGGTGTCGCAGAAAAACTGACGGGACCAGAAGTGTGTCGTGTTAGGAAATCACTGAACACAAACAGTCAAACTGAATCCTTGGTTCAGCTATAAGCTGGATTTGAGGTTTTGAATACTGTTTAGTATGGCAGGGCAGTGCTGTATGTGGGATCTTGCTATGCACCACTGGCTGGATTACACTGATATTGCACATTAGAACACTTCAAACAAAAACTCTTCTCCGGCTATAAAGCACTTGAGAGGGCCCAAGGAAGTGCTAAGAGTTACAAAAATGCAGGTTCTTTCAGTTCTTTCACCAAGGGCCACAGATGTTAAAAACCCAATTAATGGACATTAAGGGGTTTTTGGATAAGAATTTTGTTTTCAACAGGAGCCCTGGTTATTTCTCAGCACACCCTGGATGAGACTGGGGCCAGGAATTCAATTCTCCTTTTCATTAGGGTGCATAAAAAGCCTGGTTTCCAATTCCCTGCCAATATCCATCAGACCCCAGAGAGAAGATTGGTCTCAGCTGCGATGCCTTCCTTAGACAATCTACCTGGCAACATTCAATGCGGCGGTTCACAGACGTAGTCCAGGTACAATAATGAAAGTTGTCAAGGCTGGATTGTTAAATATCTCCCTATCTTAGTCTGGAGTACACTAATCATTAAAGGAATCAAATATTTTGGGAAATGTCAGGAAAGTGAAGTTGAGGATGATCAGAACAACCATGATCTCATTGAATGACTTACATCCGCGTCCACGTCTAATCGGACAAACCAATCGGCGGATGATTTGAAGGAATCCAAGGAAAAGAAGAAATGAAAACTGTCCACGATACCGGCATGCAGCTCCACAAACAGATGGCACCTCACTGCCTGTATCTTTTTAGTGACTCGATGTAATCAAAGTTTTTGTGCAGGAATAGTATCTGATCAATGTTGTCCGGCAACAGAGCTGACCTGGTTTGGTCTGGGATGCTGCTGGAACAGAAGAAAGCTCTGGTAGCAGAGACGGAAGTGGCAGGGATGGCCAGGTACTGCTTGGCCAGGTTTGCCACTGCTGGGAACCGATGCTCATTGTTTTTCCACCAATCAAAGGGGTTGGTGTTGCGTTTCCGCAGGGGCTCTGCCAGGTAGCTCTCCAGCTGCTGGTGAATCTCCGGCATCCGTTCAATGGGGTCTTCACCAAACAGGAGGTCGTACTCACACTGGCTGGGTCTGCGGCCCCCCTTGCGACTACGCTGCTTGCTGCCTTGCTCGTGGTCTGTGATGCTGTGCTCGTCTGAGGAGGAGCTGGACGACCGGGACCGAGGGCTGGCCACTGCACTGGACAGCATGTTCTTCACCTTGTTGTGGACCTTGTCTCGCATGTCTGCACTCAGGAAGCGAAGATCCTTGAACCGAGGATCTAAAAAGGAGGCCACGATGGCTGGACTCTCCATCATCTCGTCGTCATCGGGGAGGCGCCAACGCTTAGCAATCTCTGTCCTGATCTTTGCACTCACTGCCTTGACGATGCAGCCTGGGTCACCGTGGTGCTGCATGAGAGCTGTCATCACCCCATGAAGACATGGGACCAAGGAGGACACAGAAGCATTGTGTTCTTCACTAAGGAAAGATGATGCTACTTTGAGAGTCTTCAGCACAGGCAGCAGATCCTGCAAGAGTTTCCACTGGTGGTCAGACAGATTCTCAACAGTCATGTGCCCAGTTCGATCCTCTTCCAGCACCATGCTCACTGCCCATCGCAATTCCAACAGTCTCTCGCACATGTCAAAGGTACTGCTCCAGCGAGTAGCAGTGTCTATGACCAACACCAGTCTCTCTTTGTTCATCTCTGCCAGCTTGGTGCTGAGTTCCGCATTTGCCCGGGCGCTGTGCACAAAGTGGTTGACGATGCGCCTGGCGACGCTTAGCGTGTGCTGTACCTGTTCCACCTGCAGCCCCAGTTTGATGCATAGCTGCAGCATGCGGCCAGCACAGCAGAGACTCGACCAGCCGAACCGCTCCTGCAGCAGCCGGGAGCTGCTCATCAGGTTACCTGCACTGTCATGCACCACGCAGTTCACCGCCTTGCAGGAGACGCCAAACTCGCTGATGACCGAGTAGAGCAGCTCGCCGATGTAATCTGGTGCCGGGTTGTACTGGGGGGTGGTCTTGAGAACGCAGCGAGCCAAGCGCCAGCGACAGTCAATGAAGTGCCCCACAACGGTGAGGTAGGTCTGCTTGCCCTGTGAAGTCCAGGTGTCAGTGGAGAGAGTCAGAGAGGGGACGGAATGTAGGTAGTGCTCCAGTTGTAACTTAGCAACGGCGTATTTGTGTCTCAGGCTCGCAGTCAAATGCACGCTTGACGGGATTTTATAGCCTGGCTGCAGAAAGCCAAGCAGCCTCTTAAAGCCCTCGTTATTGACGAAAGAGATAGGCTGGAGGTCTCGGAAAACCATGCCCAGAATCAGGTTGCTGATCACTTCCTCTCTTTTCTCAGAGCAGGCCTTGGCATCGTGCAGGACAAGCTCAGAGATGCTCACGGGTTTGTTCTTCTTCACTTCGAGCTCCTGGCCCATGGACTCGGAGGAGGAGGAGCCCTCATCCTGTGACTGGCGAAGGTCGAGCTCACTGAGGTTGTGTTTGCGCCTCAGGTGTTCCCGCAGACTGGTCGCGCTATTGTGGTAGCACAGCTGCTTTCGGCAGAGGCTGCACTCCACACAGCGCTCATTCAACTTCTTAAAGAAGTCCCATGTTTGCGACTTCTCTTGGCAGCTCACCTGCGAGGCCCGTGCGTAGTTTAGCTCCGTCTCCTTCCTCCTTCGGGAGCCCACACTCCCATCTCTGGCCAGGTGATAAGATTGCAGCACCATGGAGAGCTCGTCTGCACACGACAGAAAAACAATCACGGCATCCTAATATCTGGTTTATAAAATGAGGACACAGGGTGGAATTTCCAGTATTGCAACAGGCCATTTGGCCCACCTGCTCCATGCTGGATCTGTTCCACTCATTTCTCCTCCCCATCCCACCCTGCAGCCTGTCCACAGCATTAAAAATAATCATAAATTTTCCAAACCCCTTCAGTTCCGAAGAAGTCATAGTGGATTCAAACTGTTAACTCTGTTTCTTGCTCTGCAGTAGCTGCCAGACCTGCTGGGTTTCTCCAGCTCTTTGTTTTTATTTTAAATCACTTGCAGAGTTAGATTTGTGCTCGGTCTTCTGTATCAAACCCCTTCACCATCTTGAAGACCTCCGCCAAGTGCCCTCAGCCTGCTACAGAAAATGGCTCCAGCACGTTGTGTTTCGAAAAGGAGACCATTTGGCCCATCCTGGCCGTGCTGTCTCATTGAATAGATCTATCCAATGAACTCCACTTTTCTGTCCTTCCTGTATTACCCTGCAAATATTCCTACTTCAGGCATTTATAACTTTCAAAAGAAATTTGGATAAGTACTAAATTTACTCCCACCAGCTCCCCAGGGAGTGTATCTAGATCACCACATTAATATTGTACAGCTGACTGCAAATGATCACAGAGAGTTGGTGAATTCGGTTCCTGTGCCATCTGCAGGATTCTCCCCTTCACTCACCTTCAGCAGCTACTACCCAGAACAGTCAGGGTCTCTACCGCATTGACTGGTCATAGAAGATTGACTGGATTGGGATTTGCAGCTGCTCCCTCCCACGGCTCACTGATGGACAACCACTGCTCTGGACAGAGAAGGGAAATCAACAAAGGTGCAAACCCTGTCTCAAACTGACATCAACAGTCAACAAACAGAGTAAGAGCAGATCACTGACCCGCCAGGGGCCAAGCCTGAGCCTCCGAGGGTACAGGCTTTCGCCCGTGGGCGCAGGGGACAGGTCTCTGGCTGTGCCTGGGGGTGAAGTTCAGGCTCCAGCCAGAGACGAGGGGGATGGGAGCAGGTCTCCAGAAGTGTCGGGGAGGGGTCAGGCCAGCAGGGTACAGTCACTGGCTTGTGGGGCACACACCCTGGTCAGTGGAGTACAGGCATTGAGCATAAAATGAACCAAACCAACAGGAGCAGGAGTGAGCCATTCAGCCCATTGAGCCTGCTCTATCATTCAATATGATCGTGGCTAATCTTGGCCTTCAAGTCCATTTTCCCACCCTGTCCAACATTCTATCACCCGAGAAACCTGTTCTTGTGCATTAGGTCCTGGAAGAATTTGTTTTGCAATTGTCTGTTTGAAATTTATTTGTCACAAATTTATTGCCAGCAAGCCTCTGATACTGAGTCCCTGAGGCAGGCTGGAGTTTGGAGGTACTGACACAGTTAGTGGGTATTGAAATGCTCCATGCTACACTGTGACTATACCTTCGGCTAATGCAGTACAAGGTTCACCGCCTCCAGCAAACGAATGGATTTCCTGGTGCTGTTCAGTCTCCAGTTGAGCTGCACACTCTCGGAGCATCTCCGATATCCTACTGCTGCTGTGTGTTGTCACGGTCGCCTTGATGGGACGAAGGTACAACATGAATAATTTCTTCAAACACTGCCCTCTGGTGAAAAGAGTGGGCATGGCGACTAAACAATCTTATCTCAGTGCTTTGTCAATACATAGAAGGGGTGGGTTTGGGAGGCAGGGTGGCTGTGGTGTGACTGGGAAGGCAATACATAAAGGGGTGGGTTTGGGAGGCAGGGTGGCTGTGGTGTGACTGGGAAGGCTCAGCGGGGCAGCTATACAAACTCAGCCAGAAATAGTTCTCAGTCCGAGGCTGGGCAGGAGGAAATACCCTCCCCCTTGCTCAGAGTTTGCGGAGGAGGAGGAGGAAGGGGAGATTTGGTGAGGTGGCGGGTGGCAAAGAGGGAACGACGGTGGAATGGAAGGACGTAGGGGATTGGAAGGGTCAAATGGAGGGAGGTGGGGAGAGAAGTGGGGAACGAAAGAACATGGGTGAATATAGGGTTGGGTGGGTGTTTGTGTGGAGAAGACAAATTGTGGGAAATTACAGAAGGGGAAAGATAAACAACAATTGTATACAAATCTAGCACCTTAGACATAATAAACCATCCCTAGAGGCTTCACAGGAGGTTATAAAGCAAAACATAACACCAGACCAGATTAAGAGACTGTTAACATCAATCATTGATTGACGAGACAGCTAAATCTAATTCAGAGAGAGACCCTGTAAATCTACCCAGATGGAGTGAACATTGTAATTCCAAGTTCTGATATTTAATCGGGGAGCAATCACTCACAGGATTATCTATCCCAATCAGCTGCATGATTTTCGGAGCCCTGTCCTTGGTGGACAGGATACCAGGGATTCGCTCAGTCCTGGGCTCTCCCTGCAGTTTATTGTGGCCAGCCTCCTCTGTAAAGTGAACACGATGATTCCTCTCCAGGTGAAGTCGGAGGATGGTGTTACTGCCGGAAACAACCAGCTCCTTCCTGCAGATGTTGCACACAACTGTTTTATCATCTCTCCTAGTTACATATTTCCAGACATCACTGGCAGGGGCCATCTCGCTGCATCTATGACTCCACATCGGCACAGGCCTGAATAAAATAAAATAAAACAAAAGCATTCATGAAATCTTTCCTTCTCGACCGACCAAGCCAACCCCCGGGATATTGAGGCTGACCGACCAGTCCAACCCCTGGGATATTGAGGCTGACCGACCAGTCCAACCCCTGGGATATTGAGGTGACTGGCCAATCCAACCCCTGGGATATTGAGGCTGACTGGCCAATCCAACCCCTGAGATATTGAGGCTGACCG